TTTGTCATCTTCCTCCATGGACTGGATAATGCCCACTCACATTGGGGAGGGGATTCGACTTTACTGAGTTCTCCAACTCAAAGGCTATTCTCATCCCAAAATATGCCCCCAGACATTCAGAAATAATGTTGAAAGAGATATCTGGGCATCCTATGATTTACTCAAGTTGACACATGAAATTAGCCACCTCATAGTAAACATAAAATTGATTTGAAACATAATATTGACCTTATATCTAGTGACCTCGCTAAATGCCATTATTAATTCCAATAGAATGCTAGTGGTTAGAAGCCAGGACAATGAGAAAGGCAAAATACATGTGAGGATGGAGTTGCCTAAGGATTCTAGGGGTAGAAAATTTGGCTACCCAACATAAAACGTGAAAGGAGAGATCAGAAGTAAGAAACTAGTCAGAATCTAAAAAAGAAAGTTTAGTTGGGTTGGAACAAAGTCTTAAAGTGAGCACATTTTGGGGTTGGATTAATTTCATTTCATAAATTAAGACCTGATCAATTTATGTAAAAAAATACTGTAGTTGAAAAGCTTTGACAGAGCTAGAACTTAAAAATGTGCTTTCTTGGAAGTCAGACAGAAAAATAGCCAAGCAAAAAGAGTTATTCCAACTATCTTGAATCACATTACATCTCATATGGTATAACCTGATCTCCATATAACCTATGTCTTTGACAACATGTATGCCAGATTACTTAGATTACAGTAGTAGAATTAATGGAGGCCAGTTTTATTATGTTTTCTCTTGTGTCAGATATTTTGAATGAATCTTCATAAACATTGTGCCTATTCCTTTAATACACTCAAAAAACCCTTCAAGATACATGCAATTCTTTTAATCTTGTAAACACAATGTATTTGTAGGAGATCCTTGGTTCTAAGAAAGAGAAACCTTCTTTGAAAGAGTTTAAATAAAAAGCTTATTTTTTGGAAGCACTTGTTTACTGAGTTATCTCAGAATAACCCAGGTGTGAAACTGCAGTTGAGCCTTGCAGACAACTCGTTAGAATTAAGTATCACGTGTCTACACAAAAACATGTACAGAAATCATCATAGCAAATGTATTCATGGTGTCTACAAACTGGAGTTAATCCAAATGTTTATCAATAAGTATATGGATAAACAAATAATGATAGCCACAAAATGAAATCCTACTCAGCATCAAAAAGGAATAAATTACTAAAAAAACAAAAAAGAATTAGGTCTCAAAAGCCACCAAGACATTGTCTCTGGTCTCTGCTCTGCTTATGAGGTTAACTTCTTTGTCTCTCTTTCTCTACCCCCACCCTCATTCTTTCTTGTTAGTGTTTCCCACTGGCTTTCTCTACATCTGGGGTCACCAACCCTCAGGCCGCGGACCGGTACTGGTCTCTGGTGGGTTAGGAATTGGGCCGCACAGCCGGAAGTGAGCGGCAGTCCTGCAAGTATCACTGCCTGAGCTCCGCCTCCTGTCAGATCAGCGGAGGCATTAGATTCTCATAGGAGTGCAAGCAAACCCTATTGTGAACTGGCATAGTCTAGGTTGTGTGCTCCTTATGAGAATCTAATGCCTGGTGGTCTGAGTTTCATCCTGAAACCATCCCCACCCCCACACTGTCTGTGGGAAAATCGCCTTCCACAAAACCGGTCCCTGGTGCCAAAATCGTTGGGGACTGCTGCTCTACATGATGGGAAATATTGTTGCTAATGACTGGAATTTTACCTCTTTCATGATCAACTACCATTCTTTTGGTCCTAACTTGAAAAATCCCCAGGAAAAGATTCATCAACTCCAGTTTGGCCAGGTGCCTGCAGACAACCTATGGAAGGGTCATATAATATTATGTTGAACTATATGAAATGGCCATTACATATTCGATTGCTAAAAAATGTCAATTTCGTAATTTAATCTAATAATAGCCAGTATTAATAACAATAGTTGAATGTTTACTATGTGCCAAGCATTGTTTTAAGCACTTCACATATGTTTACTCATATGCATTTACAACAACCTTAAAAGTTAGGTGCTGTAGCCATCTTCATTTTATATTGGAGAAAACTAAGGTGCAGAGTGTAGCTAACATGCTCATCATCACATAGTAGTAAGTATTAGAGCCAGGATTCTAACCCAAGCAGTCTGGTTTCAGAGTCTACTACATTATAAGATAGTAGCTGAAGGAATCGTATAGAACTGTGGAAGAATATTCACTAATAGGTGTGACATTTACTTTGGTGAGGACTCTTTGCTGATTTTATTCTGTGGATTGTTGCATTGCCAAGGGTGTATAGGTCCTTAGAGTTGGTCATGGTGTTAATTTAATATACTCTGAGAATTATGACAAGATGGGGCTGCAGAGATGAAGGCTTTCTTTCAATGACCTTCCAAGGTGCCATGGCCAGAGGACTGTGGTGAAAGCTGATCTGGACATTAAAATTCAGGGTTTATTAGTTAGATAAGGCAAGGTTTTTATGGGCCGAGTGCTGTTTAACTTCTCTGTTGAAGTAGTGGCTCTCTCAGCGTGGGGTCTGTAATTGAGTCTTTTATGGTGAACAGTTTGGGGATTCTCAGTATGAACTTACCACTATAATTATCTTTTCTTGTACTGGATTGTATTAGACTTAGATGCTCTGCAATAAGATGTTACTTTTTCTAAGAGTAACAATGAAACACACATAAATAGAGGTTCTTATGTTCCAGACTCTGACCTAGAATTTTATATCTGTTACATAATTTTATCTTTACAGGAACACATGAATATATTAGGAAAGATACTTGCTAAAATGCACAACCATAGAGTAGGGGGGAATAAGGGATCCCAGAAAATCTTGGTCTAGAATTCAAGCTCCTATCTGTTCTATGATAATAGTACAATAATTATAATAATAAACACTGTTCAAACATTTAGAAACATAATCTCATGCATTAGAGAAATGAAGATTATTTCTTTCCACTAAACCTCTAGTTTTAAAGGTAAAAGACAAAAGCAAAGGAAGGAGGAATTTGAAAGAAGAAGAAGAAAAAGATAAACATCCTGGAAGTAAGTTGTCAGATAAGCAATGAGATGATTTTTCCAAAGGCTTAAAAGCGAATGTCACAGCTGTGTTTTAAGTTGGTATTTTCACTGGAGTTTGGTCATAGGTCTATATAAGAACAATGTCAAATAAAAGCTACAGAGTCACTCATTTTTACAAGGTGACTACTATGTGTAAGCACTTCTGCTGGATCTATGATTTACACATCTCTCCATCACAGATAAATACAGAGCAGCTCTCGATGTAGCCAAGAACTGTCTCCTAACATGGCTCCCTGCCAAAACACACTCAGCTTCCATACTCTGTCTGCTGTCCACATTGCTGCCCGCCCAGAGAGAAAAGGAGCTCTTTGTGGTCTTTCGGTTCTTCTAGTGGAAAATTTCTATAGACTAAGCAGAGAGATAGCACAAAGCAGACCGTTTGCAAATGGACACCATCCCTGCCAAAGGCCTTGGGGACTATAAAAAGAAACAGACTCCTACGGTGTGAATCTGCTAGTTTCATACTATAAATGGAAATTGTTTTTAAAATCTAAAGGGATTGTAATGACTAAACATCAATACTAGCTTGTCTTTACCCTTGATGAAAAAAATGGTTAAAGGACATGCTTTCACACCAGCCAAGGAATGATGAAAAAACCTCTAGGCAGCATCAAAGAACACAACACAAATGAACACCATAATCTAATTGCTGGGAACGGAAAATCCATCTAAATGTTTGTAAGAATGTGTGTGTGTGTGTGCACGCGTATGTCTGTTTTAACATAATTAAGGAAGAATTCATTTGTAACATGAAAGACAGAATTTTTCCCTTATTCAGTGTGAATGATTGTGTCTATCTGCTGAAAAGATCACCTCAAAATGGTCGCTATCATATTTTTTTAGCTGGGCTCAGGGAAATTTTTTATTGTAGTATTCTGAATCTGTTCCAATTTAGAGTTGAAAGATCCAAAATTACCCCAATGTGATTGATTCAGTGACTGCTTATAAACACGGCATGAAACTCCACTTGTCTTTTTAGGTAGAAGAGGCCTTCAAGTGATCCTGGGGTTCCCAAAGGAGCTAGCAATATACCTGTTTTGTGGTGTTTTTACTGCTGTCACTTGAAATTATGTAATTTGAGAAGAATATTAATTTTTTTTGCCTAAAACTTTCAGTTATATGGAAGTTACAATCAATTTTGCTAATGAAATACAACATACATAAAATATAACATAGCTTTAGGACATAACATTTGAATGTAATTTTGTAGCTTATTACAATTGGTAGGATGAATATAGTATTAACCTTATTTTAGCTAATTTAGTAAGATAACTTGAATGCAGATTGACTCCTTAGATTTTCTTCCATATCTACTTACTATTAAAAACACAAATAAACTCTATACATTCTTCTGTTAGTCAGGTTGGAATAAGTTATGCTGTGATAACAAGCAATCCTGAAATCTTACTGACTTTCAGTCACGAAGATTTATTTCTTATTCATATGACTTGCCCATCGTGAGTTGACCAGAGACCCTCATTCATGTGTGCTTACTCCAGGATGCAGGCTGATGGAGCAGACCTCATCTTGAAGGTTCTTGTTTGCACACACAGGTGGAAAGAGACCATAGTGAATTTTGCTCTAGTTCATAAAGCTTCCACCTGGAGGTGACATATATCACTCCTACGGGAAGTTACACGGGGAGAAAGCAAGCTCAATCCTACCATGTATTCTGATGGAGAACCAGAAACATTTGGTGAGCAGTACTAATTAATACCATAATCTTCAGTCCCCCTAAGTAGTAAAAACTGGTAAATCAAATCCAGTATGTAAAGCACCATGGCACAGTGTAAAGCTCTCCAGTGGGCAAAGAGAACATCAGAAATGTTTTCTCAGTTTGCATCAAACTTTCTTATGAGTTAGTTATACTTCCTTTAATTGGTCCCTGCTCATTCTCTTGGTAACCCACTTTAATCCAGTTATTTTTCTTTATAGTCACTCTTCTGGAGCCACAAAGACCCCCTTATTTTCCTCCATGAACATGTTGGACACAGTTCTGCCTTAGGACTCCTCCCTACCCCCTATACCTGACATATCCACTGATTTACATGAAGGCTGAGGATCATCTGGAAACAACCACACTCCACTGATGAACTCTGATGTTTGGACATACGAAATCTTGGCTGCTGGATGGAGGTGAACCTGGAGGAAGTGCAAGTACAGGGAGAAAAGACATGGAGGAAGCCCCAAGAATAAAGTGAAGATGGCATGAAATGAAGTGAGCTAGACTGAACAGCAAAGCTGGAGAGCTGGAGAGGACAGATGGCTTGGTATCACAATGCAACTCATTGGAAAGTTCATTCCAATCCAGCCACCATGATTTATGGGTGCATCATGAGAGAAAGAGATATGTGTGTATGTATGTTTGTGTGTTTGTGTGTGTGTTTATGTTAATAAAAGACTTTAACATGTGGTGACAGAAGTGACCGACGTTATGTAAGTTTTGCAGTGGCACAGAGGTAACGATGTTCCATTCACTAGCACTGAATCTCATTCATACCTAGGTTGACAGTACTGGAAATGAGAGAGGACTTTGGTCTTGGAGTACCACCTCCATGAGCTCTCAAACCTGAGATTGCAGAGCCTGGCTTAGCTGGCAAAGGAGGGGAAGGCACAAGGGATATCACTAACCACTGTGACATTTTGGAAAAAAGCGTCATGACTAATGGAGAATAAATGAGACATAGAGCCCTGACGTGGAGTTGTGGCACTGCCTTCAGGCACAGCAGAGTTGCAGCCCCTCTGGTAGCAGTAGCCATTAGGATTCAACATGGTTGTTGCTTCCTCAAGCACTTCGGAGTTTTTTTTTTTTTTTTTTTTTTTCATCCTTCCCAAAGCCCTAGCTTCTTGTGATCAGCCCATCAGCACACAGGGACAATACTCTTGCATCAGAGACTCTTATCTTTTCAGCGAGTTCTTGCCATTTATGGAGCCACAGCTACTCTCTTGCCCTCCCCATGCCCTACTCATAGGAAAGAGAACTCCCTTTTCCTTTGGAACTGTTGCCTGCATACCACTTTGTACTTGAAACATAAGCTTTACTTTCATTTAGTATAACCTTTTAGTACCCATCAGGAGAATCCTCAATAACCTAAATAATTCTATTTTGCTCATTTGCCATCAGCACTTTGGGTACTAAAGATGGAAAGCACCCCTCAGTGGAGCCAGTATTATTACAGACAATTTGATAAGGGGTGATATTTACAGAGAGTGGTAGCTGCCAAAAGATTACAAAAAAATGGGAGTCAGACCTTAGGAACAATGTGAATAAAGACCATGGTTGGGAGGGAGGCACACCTAACGTGCAATTCTTGTTTTACTACTTAGTGGAGAGAAATTGGATCTATGTACTCTTGGTGAGCCCCAGTTTCTTTCACTGTAAAATGAGGATAATAACACCCATCACACAGCACAGGACTGTCATTAGGAATTGAATGAAATTGCACATGCAAAACTCGTAGTGCATAGGCATAGAGTAAGTGCTCAAGAAATATCATTTCTCTTCACTTAATGAGGTGGATCTTTTTATGAAATTTGGATGCATAGCTCCAAGGCCAAACCATAGGGCTGTTTCCAGTTGGTATCATTTAGAAGCCTAAGAAAAATTGTCCTGATTCTCACTTATGTTTTATCACATTTCCTGAAACGTCAAAACTAAAAATAAAATATTTTTGCTTATGTTATTTACTTTCCGAGTGTCCTCATTAAATATATAGCTGTTATCAAGAAGGATAAAACATGAAGCTGTTGTAATAGCCACTGTAATGTGGATTTGTTTGTCAGAGGCAGGTTGATTGAGTAAAAGGCAGGGGCCATTGTTTTGTTTGTTGGTTTTGAGTGAAATGGAGAGGAGAAAATAAGTTTCTGTTGAGGTACAACTCCTCAAAAGGTCAGATCTGATAGAAGTGCCAAATCTGGCAGTGTCTGGACTTTTCTTTTGTGGAGAGGGAACAGAATAGAGGAAGAAAGTGAGAAAGGGGGAATACCAGAGGGACTGGCACTCACATTTCCCCACTGCTCGTAGGTATCTAAGGATGGCCCTGCTGGCTTGATTCGTTCAAAGTCACCTGTTTGGGGAATGCTAGAGGATGCATTCATTATATTACAGTTGGACACAAACCCTTAGTTTCATTCAAGAATAACATTTCTGCTGTGGGAATATCAAATTCGAAAGTGTCATCCGTTTTGGATTTGGAGTCAGATTTCTGAAAGCTTATTTATTTCTTGGGGGAGAAAGAAACCATGCCAGACTCAGGGAGGGATTTTCCTGTCTATGAGCATGGAAGCTGAGTGAACAGAGGAGCAGAACCAACTTGGCTGGGTCCTGGGCCCCGCAGCACCAGGAATTAGGTAATACTGCAAGCGCCTATGAGGGGAGCTACGCATGGGGCAACAGGCAGGTTGCTTACATCCTGACAAGGAACAAAGTTAAATTCAGACATTAGACTTTCATTTCAGATAGGGAAGAGAAGACTGAGCTAAAGTTCTAGGACAAGCTTGTCATACCTGCGGCCTGTGGGCAGCATGCAGCCCAGGATGGCTTTGAATGCAGCTCACCACAAATTCATAAACTTTCTTAAAACACTATAATATTTTTTGCAATTAAAAAAATTTTTTTTAGCTCATCAGCTATCATTAGTGTTAGTGCATTTTGTGTGTGGCCCAGGACAATTCTTCTTCTTCCAACGTGGCCCAGGGAAGCCAAAAGATTGGACACCCCTGTTCTAGGACTAAGACCCATGTTTGATAGCAATACCTATATTATCAGAAGATAAAAACTTTCACCTGGAAAGACAGTTTGGAAGGGTAACACAGAAGGCCACCATTGCATTAAGATAGCCTGTAAAGGAATGGTCTTACTTTAACTAGTTACAGGAGCAGTTTTTGGAAACTTGGCCACTGGAGATTGGGATATCAGCCATGACATATATTGGAGAATAAGTGCTAAGACAAGGTCTTAAGGAGATAAATTATTTTTTGGAGAGAAACTTAAAATAACAGAGAGGTAGTGTGAAGGAAAGCTAAGTGTAAAGGCTCTGGGTGAATGCCCTGAGGCTGTCAACTCCTCCCTAGCAATGTGGACATAAAATGATATCCATCTCATAGTTTTGTGATGAGGTGAAAATGAGGTAATTACTACGAAGCTCTTAGGGCAGTGATTGGGCGTAGTAAGCACTCAGTCCACTTTAAGTGTTACTGTTTCTTTTAATGATTCTGAGCCACGGAGCTATTTCTCTACTTCCTCTAGACGCTGAGATGTGGGTTTGTTCAGTGTCCGTATCCAGGCCCTCTAGAATCTGAGAAGAGTGCAATGGGAGCTTACAACCTCCTCTTTACCCTACTTATTTTCTTTTACTGTGGATTAAAATTTAAGTTGCCATGTGATCAGCTCATTTGAAGAGTATTTTCCTCCATATATTATTATAAAGGGTATCTTCTTTTCTGCCCCTTCATGAAATTAGCATCAATTAGCATCATAACTCCAATAATTTATCCCATCAAGCACTTAAGAAGCACATACATATTAGGTAGTATTAATATCCAAATATCCCCTTTTATCAGGGGATAAAAGGCTAAACAAAAGTTGAAATGCCTGAAAGGAATTTGCAATGTAGAAGTGTCTAGTCTAGGAAATGATCATCACTGAAGGTTGTCAAAACCTACTCCAGATAGTTTAATAAATAGTCGAGATAGAGAGTTTTTCTTCCTAATATTATCATGGAGGAAATTTTGATACCAAAATTTCATAGCAGCATATTGTTTCTGTCAAGAATAATAATGACATATATTTCAAATCACTTTTATTCACATGTTTGTCATTACATATCATCACTATTAAAATCACAGTCTTGAGTGGAAAAAGAAAAAATATGAATGGCAAATCATATAGAGAAATCAAATTGGTTCAGCACATAAAAATATTCCATTTTCATACGTGTGCATGTGTCTTTATAGCAGCATGATTTATAATCCTTTGGGTATATACCCAGTAACGGGATGGCTGGGTCATATGGTACATCTAGTTCTAGATCCCTGAGGAATCGCCATACTGTTTTCCATAATGGTTGAACTAGTTTACAATCCCACCAACAGTGTAAAAGTGTTCCTATTTTTCCACATCCTCTCCAGCACCTGTTGTTTCCTGACTTTTGAATGATCGCCATTCTAACTGGTGTGAGATGGTATCTCATTGTGGTTTTGATTTGCATTTCTCAATAGCAAAGACTTGGAATCAACCCAAATGTCCATCAGTGACAGACTGGATTAAGAAAATGTGGCACATATACACCATGGAATACTATGCAGCCATAAGAAAGGATGAGTTTATGTCCTTTGTAGGGACATGGATGCAGCTGGAAACCATCATTCTTAGCAAACTATCACAAGAACAGAAAACCAAACACCGCATGTTCTCACTCATAGGTGGGAACTGAACAATGAGATCACTTGTACTTGGAAAGGGGAACATCACACACCGGGGCCTATCATGGGGTGGGGGGAGGGGGGAGGGATTGCATTGGGAGTTATACCTGATGTAAATGACGAATTGATGGGTGCTGACGAGTTGATGGGTGCAGCACAGCAACATGGCACAAGTATACATATGTAACAAACCTGCATGTTATGCACATGTACCCTAGAACTTAAAGTATAATAATAATAAAAAAAAGAAAAAAAAATATTCCATTTTCAAATGCCTTGCAAGACAAATGAAAAAGATTGAGTAGTGCTATTTTAGGGGCTGTCCCCAGCTCAGCATTTGTGATGAACTCTCTTGAAACAAGAGAGAACATTCAGTTTTCCATTCAAGCGCTCCTGGTAGTTCTTAAAAAGATGACTTTCAGAGACTTCACAAAAATAAATACCAAAGAAAACTAAGTTAGGAGTATTATCATGATTAGGTAAATCTCACATCTTGAAGAGTTTAAATTAGAGTCTTGATTTTTAAAAATATAAGAGCAAACTGTAGGCTATTAGTAAATTTCTCTTTAGGAGAAGTTTAGCAATTAGAACATTTAAATGAATATATTACATACTAAAACACTCACTCAACCCAACATTTGCAGCCCCAGGTAAATACTTGGATCCACTAAATCCATTAATAAATTAATACATATTCATCGAACACTTGCTACATAACTAGTTCTGTTGCAGGTGGTATGACGTTTAAACTGTAAATCAATTATAAATTATAATTCTTGGTATATAGGAGCTTCTTATCAAGTTGGAAAAGCAAACACAGGAGATTATAAATAGTAAAGTCTTGAATGGTGAAGTTTGAATTGTAACAGTAATAGGATTTTAGAAATGGAGAAGTTGAACTACTCCAGGAAGACTTCCTGAAGGATGTTGTACTTGAGCTGAAACTTAAGAGAGGTGTTGGTTTTGAATGAAGGGCAGTGGTATTCTAGACCTGAGAGAGACAAACAGGAGTTTGAATGTGGTATTAATGAGAGAGAATGAGAAGATAAAACTGGCCAGAACAGGGGAACATAATAGGAAAGAATTGAACATAGAACCACAATATGGGGTGGCCTAGAAGTAAAAATCAAAATGCAGTTAAAAACATGCATGTTCCAAGATTGAATTTGTTCTGTCCATGTGGTCATCTAACATAGATACTATTATTCTTATAGAA